GCAAAGGAGCGGCTTAGCCGGTGCGATGCATGAGGTGGTGGCCCACCTCCCAGGACCGGTGACGGTGGGGGAACCACCAGGCTAGTCGTCTTCAGCAGTCGGATTTTTGATTGATAGGGCAGGAAGCGAGATGGTTTTTTGCCTGCGCGAGTCTAGCCTTTCCTGTGCACGTCACGCTCGGCGACTCAGACCGGCCGTGTTCGGGTAGCCCTACACGTGTTGCTGCGCTGGATGGGGAGAAGCTCCTTTCCTCCGTACTTGCGAGCCCGCGCGTGCAGTGGTCCCTGGCAGTCGGGCTGTACTTCGGAGGTGAGAGTTTGAGCAGCAGCATCCACCTTTTCAGGCTATTGCCATTTAGAAAAAGGCAGGAATTTGAAGTGCGGCGGGTATTTTGGAGGGCTTTTTCTGTTCGTTTTGCCATACGGACAACTGTTGGGGCTTCCAAGCGTCCAAGACGTTGCCGAAAAGGGAATTTAGCTGCCCAGGTCGCATTCACCCTCGGTTTTTCCTTGTCTCCGAATTCCTCTTTCGGCTCCTTCCTTTGGGACCGCAGGAGTTCCCAAACCTGCACCCCGTGGTTCCTCACAACCCAGCTGCGCTGTGATAAAGGGAACTTGCAAAATTGGAGGTGTAGGGTGTGGGAAAGTGAGGAAAAAAGGTGGGGGCTCGATGGAGACGAGCCCGTCTCATCGACTCGCGCGGCGTATACCGCTGTGATAACTCGCCTGTCGTGTCCTGGCAATAAGTCTTCCCACCAGCTTTTAATATTGGCCAGATCCGTTGCAAGGACCCTTTCCTGCAAGGGGAAAAAATGAGTGTGGCTTGCGAGGAAGGATAAATTGTCCTTCCTTTCCTTTCCTCTGGGTGAACAAGCTAATAAACGTTACGAAGAGACCAAGTTTCTTTGGCACGTTGCGAAGTTTCTGTACGTTTTTAATGCTAACTAGGGGAAGGAAAACAATGCTGGAGCGTTGTTCATCTTTTCTGTTCTAAGCCTTTACTTTATTATTATTGTTTTTAACGTGGAAGCTGAAATCACATTTCCCAATTGTTGTATTGATGGAAGGAAAGGTCACTTCTTTGCTAGAAATATTCCTTTTTTTGCCGAGAGAAGAGTGGATATACTCACATATCAATAAAAGCGAGGGACGGTAAGTGTGATGTGGGAACAGAATTCAATAAAGTTTTATTGTATCACAAGTGGACTGAAGTGCATTTAAAAACATTAAATGGAGGCTCACAATATCTGCTCTGCTGGACCTTAGGGCTGGTGAATAGACAGATAATTGAATAATGACATTTTAAAGAGAATACAAGCACTAGAAAGCAAACTGATATTTTCATTGCTCCAAA